ATATATATATATATATATATATATATATGCTTACAGATGCTAAAACCAGGCAAGTGAATGCTTGTATAACTGGTTCAGAAATGGGAAACAAGTTAGAGTGAAGAAATTTTGTAATACCTGCTGTAATATGTATGTATCTATATAAAGTCAGCTACTCACTTCACATCACACAGGTACTAATTATATAATATTCTCTCATAAGATTGATTGATTATAACTTTACATGGGCCTCAAAAAATTTTAGCTGTTAATTATATTATATTAATTTAATTATAGAGTGAAACTCGGTACCCAACAATATACTTATTACTACTTTTAACTAGAGTATGATACGTGGTCAACTAAATGCCCTTGCATTGGCAGGGAATAACATTATTTTAAATACGATTTTCATGATCTTTAGTCTTCAAAGTAGACATATTGTTATTGTTTTTAAGAGGTCAACACCCCACTGATAAGAATTCAATTTTATAAGAATATACTTATATATTTGATTTCAAAGAGACTTACGAATGCATAGAATATGTTCAAATTGGCACTTCATGAGTGTCTTAGAGCTAGCCCATTTCGGTTTAGTATAGTTTTCAAAATACGTTTCCCAAAGGAATCTTACAGTTGGCAAGTTCCGATAGATCACCCTAATCAGTTTTTAGAGTTATGTGTACACTATATTGATGAGTTTACTGTCAAATGTGTTTTATATATCCAATAGAATTTGAAAATGGAAATTTAAATTGTGTTGATTTGATAGCTTTCATAGCAGTCATATAACTTTTCATTAAGCTGCAGTAACTCAGAGCTCAACTATGTATATTCTCGCTGCTTAGGCAAATGCATCTTAGCCAAAGCCAAAGACTAGCTAGCTTGCTTGTAACAATTAACTCAAATCAATTAAAGGTCAAGACCTTAGCTCAGACATCTTTAGATCGAATCTCTCATTACGCAGATGTAGCTGAGGCCGAGCACGAGCCAAGGAAATGGCAATGACACACAAACTTGAGGCACGAGAACAATATTTCACACATGATTATGTGAGAAAGAGCATTGCATATTGATTAACTGCCAACTGGCGGGGACAAGGTAAGCCCACTCGTAACGAGCCAAGACCAAAAAGCCAAAAACTCAACAATATATCTGACATTTTAAAATTTTCATCGATGAAGGTTTGATCCCACCCGCCTTCAGGCGGCCGACGTAATTGCCTCTGCCAATGACAAAGCAAAGAGCAATCCCAACCAGCTACATCCAAAAGTCACAAGTCAAACTTTTTATGCTTCAACTGGTCTCTAATAGATTTGGTTCCTCTCAGTAGATAGGATAGCTTTGCATTGCGTAAAGCGTCTACTCTTAAGATTTTATCTAATAAATTGTATTTTTCACTTGATTATACTTTAAAAGTAGGATAATCTGTACTACAGATTCTGTAACAATTACGAAGGCTCTAGCAGAGACTGCTCGACTAGGAGATACCTTGAACCCAGTAAGTAAGCAGAAAGCAGCGATTGCGGTTGGGCTGCGCTGCAGTGTGGGCAATATTATGAGAATTTACTTGTTGAATAATCTCTTTTGTAGACAGACCATCTTTATGAAACTTTCCCGCAAAATGATCATATGTTGATTTTTTGGGAAATTGAGATTTTAATGCAGAACGGTTAGAAAACGTTTGTCTCAAATACTTGCAACAAATAAAAACTCAATTCGCTCTAGTTTCAGAAACAAATCAACAAAACAAATTTCAATTTAAGCGGTTGTTTACTAGCATGCAATAAAAAAATTACAAAAATTCTTCTCCTCCAAGTTACATTTTTCGATATACGATGATTTCGCAGCAATACGACGATATGGTTAAAATGTGTGTACATTCTAAAGTAAAATTCGTTATTACTTGAAATATCCAAAATCTGTAAATTACAAAATGTTTGTATTCATCAAGTGTATACATACTGTATATATAATCGGAAGAGTCCAGGTCTAAAAGTGCTCAAATTAGGCTGAAAGAACAAAATCAATTTTGTGATTATTCTCGATAAAAAGTTATCGGATGAGTTGTCGAAAACAGATGATAAATGTGTACTGCGTATAGTATACACGAGTATGCATGCCAAATTTGAAGTCTTATAACTTCTGAAAGCTAGGCAGAGCTTGATCGACTCAGATCGTCGTTTTGATCAAGAATATATATACTTTATGAGGTGTGCGATGATTCCTTCGGCCTGTTACATACTTCTCTCAGATCCATTATATCCTGATTTCCCATTTCTCATTGGGTTCAGGGTATAACAAGAAGGCATATCTATTGCAAATGTCAGATGTCAATAGCCACACAGAACAGATAGACGTTAACTACGTTACAAGTTGATCGTGGGCAGGAATACAGACACGGATACATACTTATGAATCTAAGCTTTGACTGTGGAATGAGTGTTATTATCAAATCGATGTTTGTTACAAACCTACTACCAATCAGAGTTGAATATTCAACATTTGATTCCACATTGCCTTGCTATTCATGTTATCTAACCAGGGGGTTGTACTAATAAATGCTTTGGATAATTCTGCAATTATTTATAAATGCGATCTAAACCTATCCGTCCGTTACAACTAATGTCAATACAAAGTGTGTTCATATAGTCTTTAATAAAACTCCATATTTCATTGATGTATTTAGATTTGAAGGTGAATTGCAACTGACCACAAACTGACTTAGCGAATATGACTTCACAAAGCAATTAAGCGAACCGTTGCCAATAATGTACTTCAAGGATTTACGGGCTTTACTGACAGCTGCTTCATTCCAGTTGTAATCGTAGATTCACTTATGAGGAGGAAAATGCTACATTTCATCTAATACAAGTATTTAATAAGAAATTCTCTTATCAAAATATGTTAGGAATTCTATGCACTTTAATATTAATAATGTAATATAGTTTGTTCGTTTGATTTTTTCGTGTAGCGAAAGAATGTGTCAATGATCTGGAGGGCCATAAAGTTAATAGAGAGCAACTGCCGAAATCCGTAAGTGCAGTTTTGGCAACTGAAAGTGGACAAAATGTCCTTCAGGATGAGAGAGGTAAAGGCGCTGCTGCGCAAGGACATCCTTGTGCGCTGGCGCCAGAAGGTTCTGTCGTTGACGGTGATCGTGTGGCCATTGATTACATTCATGCTGATCTATTTAATAAGGCTAAGATACGACTCAGAGCACATAAACGCATGCCAGTTCCCCACGCGTCTGCTACCCACTAAAAATCAGGTTGTGCCCAGCGCCTTCTCCTACATTTGCAGCATTGAGAATAAGTGTCTAAGCACCGAACCTTACGAGGAGTACTCCAAATGGCAGGCAGCACCGTAAGCTTGAATCTTAAATAGTATATGCGGAATTGCTCTTGAGCGCAGCTTTGTTTCAGCTTGCATTCTGTCATTGATATAGTCAATGTGTTCGTCACCGATGATCGGTTGTACAGTGCAATCATCGAGCTGCCGGAAAAGGCGAACTTTGTAAGCGCAGTCACTACACTCGTAACCAGCAGTCATCTCAATGTCATTCGAAGTGAGTAGTTTCCTTGTCTCTTTGTACTATTATGGTTCATATACTGAAGAGTTTTTCCTTTACAGGTAACATTAGCCAAATCGTTTCTTTGGTGCCCGAAATTGAGCGCCTGATGAACTACAGCTTTGATGTCACAAAACTATTTTCAAGTAAGTGGAGCGAGTGTTAACTATTACTATCATTCACTTTCATTCCCCTCTCATTCGCGCTCTCTCTCTCTCTTTCTCTTTCTCTTTCTCGCTCTCTCCCTCTCTCTCTCTGTCTCTTGCATCTTTGTAGATCGTGAAACGTTTGTGAAGCTGGGCGTTTTACTTTGCGGCCATCCGTTTCCCAGCTTGGAGAGCATACCTCTGGTTAACGATATACTTTACTCCGAGGATTTCAGCGAGGTCAATGATGATGAGCTAAACGCCATGCCAAGTACGTTCCCCAATCAATTATGAGCTGCCGTATTTATTTAAATTCCTTTATTCTCTCGTCCCACAGCCAAGTATTGCAAGCGACTGTATTTGGATGTTACCTCAACGAATCAAGGCAAGCTAACCTGGAATTTTATCAAGCCAATTATTCAGGGTAAAATTCTATATACGCCACTAAATGCTGATACGGAGAGCATCGTGAAATTCGTAAGTGCCTTTATACTGTTAAAGGTCTTGCTTTAGCGATTACTAAACTATAAATGATCGCTTACAGACCAATGCAACTTTCGAGGAAATTGATCGACTAAAGAATATATCGTACGCAGCCGCGACCATCCTCGACAAGCTGCACACGAATGCCACATTTCAGCAGGCCTTTGATAATCTGCTGAAATTGGCCCGTTCCCCACTCGTTCAAAGCTTGGTGGGCAGTGAATTCAATGTGGAGGAGATTGAGCGAATTATGAACTACGTGCGCACCAATGAGCTTATCCATCAGGTTTTAACTACTGTCAGCGATCTCATGGAGTGCGTATCGGCCGATCGGTTTGAGGGGGTGTCCAGTGTTGAGAAATTGCAGCATCGCGCCTATGAGCTTAATCAGCAGCGCCTCTTTTTGGCTGCGCTCAACTTTGAGGATGTCGCTAGTCAGTATATAACCTACAAATTGCACATGGACACGGACAATACGCAGCCGACGTTCGAGAACAAAAATCGGTTCTGGTTCCCAGGGCCAGCATCAAGCATGTTAGTGGACCTGAAGTATCACCGTGGCTTTGTTCAACTCATGCAGATGGTCGATCTGGCAATTATCAAGCATAAGCGAAAAGTGTTGGGACCGGACGAGCAGTCGGAAACTGCTGAAATCTCACGACCCTCCATCAGTTTGAAACGTGTTGATGATGATGAAGATCTCTTTAATGAGGAGGATGAAGAGAAGGGCGAGAATACAGATGACGAGAATTCGAGTAGCAATGAGGCAACGACGACTCTCGCTCCTGGGTCTGACGAGGTAGAAGTTACAGCCGCCAATGGGCCACAACCGCTAACGGAAACATCAACCCTAAATCCCGACTTCAAATTTCTGAGCAATGATGATTTAATGAACATCAAGTTGCCAAGCGGCTTTGAAAACGCTCTTAGCCAAGCTTTAGCAGATCCTAAGCTCAATTTGGACTTCCGCGGCAGTCGGGTCAAGCGTCAGGGTCTCTTGGACTTGCTCAGCAGCTTCAGCAATAGAAATGACAATGCCAATGGTATTAAATATGACGTGGACGAGATGCAGTTTTATACCAAACAATTTCCCTATCCCGCCTATGTGCGCGATGAGTTAGTATATCCTCAGCCCGTAGTGGATTAAATCAACTCAATCACTTTATTATTGCAGCTTCAAGCGCGGCATCTACCTGGCTCAAGCCGTGCAAGTTTGCTTCTGTCTGGGCCTGGTTGTTGTCGTGGCCATCTGCGTGCGAGAAAGAATCTGGATGCGCGAGAGTCGTAATAGCATGGTAAGCCAGACGCTGGTTTCCCTTTAACTCCAGCTAACTCTGTTATTTGAATAGCTGATGCGCTCCATGGGTGTGCATGCGCACTCAGAGCTGATCGCTTGGATATTAATGAGCTTCGCCGAGCTATTCGTCATCTTTGTGCTAGTCAGCCTTGTTCTCTACATCGGCGGCATTTTGGTTTATACCAATTGGTTCTTCATAATGCTCTATTGCCTGGCCTTCGGAGCTTGTCTCATCTCATTCTGGTTTGTATTTGAGTAATACAACTTTAGTGATCTTCCCGCTGAGCTTCTGATATTCTTATAGCTATATGTGCTCCAACTTCTTTATGTCTGCCAACATTGGGGCTGTCGCTGCGGCGTTGCTCTTCTTCATCACCCTCTGTCCATTCATCATAGTGCTGCTCTTCGACGCAAAGCTGAATCTGCTGGAGAGTTTTCTTGTCAACTTGTCCTTCACGACGGCCTTTGCGAAGGGATGGTCCGAACTGCTGCGCATGGAGCTGCAAGACCAGGGCCTGACCGTTGGGCATATTTTACACTTAGGGCCCGCGGGCAGCGAGTGCGCGCTGGCTTTCCTTATGTTCATACTTGATCTGCTGCTATATGCTGCCATTGGCTATGGATACCAGCGCTACAAGAAAAGTGAGTAACGCCGTTGCAGTTTCGAATGGTTATTATGTGAGCTTATCTTAGGCAACTACAGCTTTGTGCGAGTCACTCGCGCACAGCTTGATGCGAAGCTGGGTGCGTCCTTGACCAGCGTCTCCAAGATGTATGGCCACAAGCATGCTCTGTCGAATCTCACGGTTGACTTTGCACGCAATCAGGTCAGCTGCCTGCTGGGGCGCAATGGCGCCGGTAAGAGCACGCTCATCAAGTTGCTCACGGGGCAAACGGTACAGACGACTGGTCAAGTGGTGCTCGCCGGTCAGCACAATGTCGGAGTCTGCTGGCAGGACAATATACTAATACCCAAGCTGACAGCACGAGAGCATCTGGAGCTTTATGCTCAGCTCAAGATAGACGCTACTGATAGCGAGTGTTTGAGCGCGAAGCAGGAGGTGCGGCGCACCTTGAAGAGCCTTAACTTCGGCAAGCATGAGAGCTATTATGCCTATCAGCTGTCAGGTGGCTATAGGCGACGTCTCTGTGTAGCCATTGCGTTCATCGCCTCGCCCAGCGTTGTCATCTTGGACGAGCCTTGCAACGGGGTCGATGCCAAGGCGCGCAAGGATATCTGGCAGCTGATTGAACAGCTGCGTCAGGGACGTGCTGTAATCTTTGCCACACACTTTCTTGACGAGGCCAAGTACCTCAGTGATGCACTCTTCATCATGCGCAATGTGAGTGGATGAACAAAATCGAGTTGAAGCTCGTTTTGATGCTGGGCTTAATCTTATCTAATGTCTTCTTTACAGGGTCACATCATTGCCCAGCACAGCCGAGACTCGCTGCAGCGCCTCTGCACCTCGGATTATAGCATGGAGATGCGCTGCATTGATCCCAATGCATCTGCTGCGATAATACAGCGGGCGCAGCAGATGCTGAACCAGAGCCATGTGCTGCCCGGTCAGGAACCGCAGCACTTGATCATTAGCGCCAGCTTTGCTCAGAACCTGACTCCGGCTGCTGTTCAGTTTGTGGAATTCCTGCTGGCACAAGAAGCCGCGGGTCGCATTAGCGATGTGACTTTCAACAGCAGTTCAACTCTGGAGCAGGAGTTCGAGCAGCTGAATCGGAAAGACGAATCACTTGTGCAGGTGACGCCCACCACATCGAGCATTGTCACCGGGGCAGCCGATGTGCTCGAAAAGCCGCCTGGCTCCTGGAAACATTTTGTGCTGCTTCTGGGCAAGCGGCGCCGTCATCTAATGCGCAACTATCGCCTACTCCTGTACGTGCTGCTTCTGCCTGCCATTTTTGAGCTTTGCGCAATGTGGTTTGTCAGCTACCGCCTGGACGATGACTTTGACACGATCCTCCCATTGAGCCGCGCGCTATATCCGCATAGTGCCCAAGTCATGAGCTGGGAAAAGATGACTGACTTCACAGAGATTGTTTACAACAATCTAACGACCGAATGCGGCACGGCCTTTGAATGCGGAGAATTCACCAGCTCTCGAGACGCCTTTTACTGGGTGCTCAACAGCCTGGATAAGTATCGTGGTCGTCGCTATGGTGGATACGGTATCAATGGCACTGGTGTCACTGTCTGGTACAACAACAAGGGCTACCATGCCATGGTAGCCTGGCTGAATGATCTGAATAGCCAGCTGTTGCGCAGCACGCTCGAGAACTCATCATTCCAAATACAAGTATTGAATGAGCCCTGGAAGCTGGGCTTCGCCGAGCTTAGCACCAGTTCGGTGCTGCGCCAGGCTGGCGATTCCTGCATGGTCTTCATTCTGCTGATCGCGTTTGGCCTAGTGGTTGCGGCTGCCTCCGTTTACCTGGTCAATGAGCGCGTCAACGGCGAAAAGCTGCAGCAGCGCCTAAGCGGCGTGAGCGCCGCCACCTATTGGCTGGTGGCCATTCTCTGGGACTATCTCATCATGGTACTGGCTCTGATCGTCTGCCTTGCGATTGTGCTGATCTTTAATATGCCCGTCTTTGTCGACCGCCAGCAACTGGTGGGCATCGTGGCTTTATCTCTGATGTTTAGGTAAGTTCCTTTGCCGTCATCCGATCATTTATCGCTGTGTTTATTTCCTTCTCCATTTGCCTTACAGCTTTGCATGCGTGCCCGCCGTGCATGTTCTGGAGAAGATCTTCAGTGACTCGAGCATCGCTATTGTGTCCATCTTTTGCGGCAACATCATCATTCCAGTGGCTACCATGGGCATTGTGCTAATTCTGGGAGTCGTGGGCGATGGCCCCACGTGGGACACTTGGCGGCATGGACTGAACCATGCCTTCCTTATCTTCCCCCAGCATGCACTGGGCGATGGCCTGCTGGAGCTGTGCAAGAACTACATGGTAGCCGTTGTCTTCAAACGGTACGACATTGACTCTTATAAGCTACCGCTGGCCAGTGATCTGCTGCAGCGCCACTTCATGGCCTTGATCCTGGTGGGCATTGTCTGCCTGCTGCTGAACTGGCTCATTGAGTGTCATTTGCTGAGTCGCCTCTGGCAGCAAATGGCGGGCCTCTTGGACTGCAAGTACAAGCGCGAGTTGCGCAAGCTTGGACAGTTGAAGCTCGTCAACATCAATAGTATTTTTAAGAGTTGCGTCGGCGCCAGTGAGGCACTGCGGGTCGAGAATCTCTGGCTAGCCTACCGCCGTGGACACTATGCTGTCCGTCAGGTTCACTTTGGCGTGCAGCGCGGTGAATGTTTCGGGCTGCTTGGCAAGAACGGGGCTGGCAAGTCAACCATATTCAAAATACTCACACGTCAGCTACTCCCAGATGTGGGGAATATATATTTCGAGCATGTAAGTTCCTCATCGAATATTCATTGAAATAATGGACAGTTGTGGGACAACTTTTCTTAAGTCACATAGTCAGTTAATTGTTTTAGTTGACCACTCAGCTTGCACCTTTAATCAGTCAGCCATCCATCACATTTTGGAAGAATGAGCAACTCAGTCAGTTTGCCATTCAACTGGTGATTCACTCATTCCATACACTCATTCCATTCAGTCAATCACTACCAATTAATCTATTACTTCTGATTATACTACTTAGTAAACTAGTCAGTAATTCAGCGAAAAGTAGTTCATGACAACTAATTAGTTAGTCAGTAAATCAGTCCCAAAGTCCATGGATAGATATGTTAACCAGTCAACTATTTACTAACTAATTCAGTTAATCAGTTAATCTGTCGATCAATTAATTTGTTCCACAACCAAGCAAATGAACTCACCTAAATATGTAATCAATCATTGGGTCAGTGTCAAATATTTTTACTCTTTTTAGCCCGGCGTTTCATATTGCCCGCAGAGCAATCCACTAGATCCGCTGCTCACTGTGAAGGAATGCATCCGGCTCTATGGCCAACTAAGGGGCATAAAGGATGTGGATAGCCTGCTGGAACGCATACTGGACACTTATGAGCTTCGCAGCTTTCGGGATGTCCAAGTAAAAAAGCTGAGTGGCGGCAATCGACGCAAGCTGACGGTGGCTATCAGCTGCTGCGGCTATACGCCGACGGTGCTAATGGATGAGCCGACGAGCGATATGGATCCGGTGACACGATCCTTTGTCTATCGCACTGTTGAGCAGCTACTGGTGGCGCGACGTGCTGTGCTTTTGACCTCGCACTCTATATCAGAAATAGAGCATCTGTGCCAGCGAGTGGCTGTACTCAAGGATGGCCAGATCGTGGCTAACAACAGTCCGGCAGAGCTGAAGAGCCAGCACGGTGGCTACTATGCGATTAGTTGCTTTTGCGCGCCCATTCAACAAGCCGAACTGGTCAGGATTCTGCCTCAGCACCTACCCGGCGCTTGTGAGCTGATGCACTATGCGCACAGTCTGCGCTTCATTGTTAAAGTGCGTCAACCAAGCAGCTCGGAGGCGACGAGCAGTGCCAAGCAGCCAACGCTTGCCGCACTCTTCGAAGCAGTGTGCGTGATGGCCACCAGCTTGGAGCTGCCGGCTCACTTTGCGATCAGCCGCTGTCGCTTCGAGGCGGTCTTCGAGCGCATCCTTGACAACTGTGAATCAATCTCTAACGGGAGTTCCGATCTGCTCTCGAAGTCAGCTGCAGTCAGTGGATCCCTGGAAACGGGCTATGTGCACTGCGGCTACGATGAGACCACGACCTAGACCTAAGTGACAGTGTAACCGTAACTAAGTTAGTTTTTTATGTGTATGATTTATGTTTATATATATGTACTATAGGACAAATTCGTTTTGTGATAAGTTTGGACAGTCCGTTCCAGTGATGGGTTTACGGGGTAAATGTGTGGGTTAGACTTCCAGCAATGGTTTGGGTTTGGGGTCGGGCTTTGGTTAGGTTTCGGGCTACCGCATTTTCAGGGCGTCTTTAAAGTTAAGGGAGTAAGAGCTTGAATTGAGATGTGTATAGGCTAAGTACTTATCTTATCTTATGTACAAACATTTATAAGCAGCGCCGGCGAGTACAATCGAAGTGTTGTAGAGTCCATTTCCTTCTTTCGATACACCTGATTTTTTGTATTCATATTATGTAGTAATGTTTGATAAATATGCATGTATATTTGTTTCTATTTATAACGATTCCAAACTATAAAGTGAATAAAAATTTATATGTACAATTAAAGATTCTTTGTATTTAGTGTTTGAGTAAGTACATATGGCGTTTATAATCCGCAACATTTAATGTAATTTTATCATATATCATATCATATATATAGCAAAATACAAAGTATTTTTATTAAAATGTGTGTAACAGGCAAAAAGGTGTGGAAGACCTCACAAATGATGTACATATGTATATTCTCGATCAGGGCGACGAACTAAGTCAATTTAGCCCTGTTTGTCTATTTGTGCTCGCCTATCTGTGTTCGTTTAAGAGCTAAAGACGTGAAACTTAATTGCTTAATAGCTTTCCTTGTTGATGGACTATCTTCATACTAGCGTGATTATAACATTCAAATGCGTGCATGTGCATATAAGCACAAGTCTCTAGTATCTGAAATACACTTTTTACAAATTGTTGGGTGAGGAGGTGGATGGATGGGGGTGAGTTATAAGAAAAATTGAAATTCTATAAAGTACAAGGTTGCCCATATTCGACTGACCCATCTTTTCACAGAGAAGCGCTCTCAAATTGTTGAAATTTACATTCAACAAAGGAAGTCTATTGTGAATACTCTACGAGGCTCATTTCGTATTGAATGGGACGGTAAACAAGCTACATTGCCGTGTTTACGCGAATTAAAATCCTCACTAAATTCAAGAGGAACGAAGCTCTTTACGACGAAAAAGTCACTTTGGCGCGGCTTTAGTGCGAAACCGATTATTCATTCATTATACCCTAACCCATTGAAAACGGGAAATCAGGGTATAATGTTTTCGTGAAATAGTATGCAACAGGCAAAAGGAATCATGGCAGACCCCATAAAGTGTATATATTCTTGATCAGCACGACGAGCTGAGTGGATATAGCCCTGTTCGTCTGTCCGTCCGTCCGTCTGCCCGAATGAATGCCAAGATCTCAGAAGATATAAGATAAATATATATATGTATATATAATTTAATTTCTAGACGTACAATCTTAATGAAAGTTTCAGAATCTCAATCAATCTTAATGAAACGAACGAACATTCCAAAGCACAAGTCTCTAGTATTTGAAATGCGTTTTTTACAAATTGTGGGCGAAGGGGGCGTGGTATCCAAGATCTGTAAATTAAAAAATGTTTGTATTTATCATATCTATATGATGTGTATGTATATCCATAGTAAATCTGAAGTCTCCAGGTCTACAAGTGTTCCAATGAGGCTGAAAAAACAGAATCCATTTTTCGATTATTTTCGATAAAAAAGATAACGGATGATTTATCGAAAAAAAGCAAGCTCGTACTGCATATGGTATACACGAGTATGCACATAAAATTTCAGCTCTCTAGCTTTTGTACCTTCTGAGATCGACGCACTGTTACGGTCGGGCGGACGGACGGAAGGATGGACGCACGAACAGACGGACAGGGCTATATCTACTCAGCTCGTCATGCGGATCAAGAATATAGATTCTTTATGGGGTCTGCGATGATTCCTTCTGCCAATAATAGGTATTACTGAAGAGGATTTGAAGCTGATCTAGTGCTCATCCTGATAGATACTTTTCCCAAACATTTCTCCTTGGAATATACACACATATAAACATAATCATGTTCAAGAAAAAATTCTCATTCTATTGCTCACACTGCTGCCCAAGCGCTGTCGTTACTTACTGCGCAGTGAGCAGAGCGAGTGATTATGCGTGAGTATGTATGTGTTTACGTATGGGTGTATAAAAGAAGTACACAATGATTAGAATATCAGCCTCCTAGTTATACATATATTTAATTAAGCAGTTTAAGCCGCCAGAAATCCGTTCTATAGAAAAATTTAATTATACCAATGGTGTAACATTAACGAAAACGTACCATGAGAGGTGTACTGGGCAATGGGCCCAGCCTCGGCACTCCATTTCATTCCTATGAGTAGCTACGAGAAGAAGATGTGTGTAAGTTTGAGTGTGTGTGGAATTCGAATGGAAGCTTTTTAAGTTTTGTTATTTCATTATGCGTTCAAATATGGTGGTGGTAAAGGGAAATGGATCTAACGTGGAACTAGGAGCTAGGGGTTCGGGGTTGAGTGTTAAGGGCTAGAGGTAGGTGTTAGGGGCTGGAGCAATGGCACAAAACAAGCTCTCTGCCAAAGCGCTGTTTATATGTATTTTGCATTTGGTTTGGAGTCTGCGGTTATTGTGTGGTGTGTGATGTGATGTGGTGTGGAAACACCTAAATTATTTTTTCAAAGGATTAAATTAAATTCTATCTGATTGAAAGGCAAAAAAAGGGGGAAAAAATAAACAAGTAAGAAGGCTCTAGTCGAGACTGCTCGACTAGGAGATACCCTGAACCCTCCAATCTGATATTCTAATCATTCTGTACTTTTTTTATGCACATATACATACAATCACATGCATCCGCACGCTCGTATAAAAACGCGCTCTGCTAACTGCAAAGTGAGCAAAGACTGCGCTTGGGCGGCGCCGAAGTGTGGGCAATATTATGAGAATTTAGTTGTTGAATAATTTAATTCCTAGACGTACGATCTTAATGAAACTTTCTGAACGTAATCACAATGTTCTAATGTATGAACATTCCAAGTATTTGAAATGTGTTTTTTACAGATTGTGGGCGAGGGTGCGTGGTATCCAAAATCTGTAAATTACAATATATTTGTATTCATGATATGTATATACATAATAAATCTGAAGCTTCCAGGTCTAATAATGTTCAAATGTGGCTGAAAAACAAAATCAATTTTTCGATTATTCTCGATAAAAAAGTTATCGGATGAGTTATTGAAAAAATAAAGCAAACTCGTACTGCGTATGGTAATCACGGGTATGCACACCAAAATTTCAGCTCTCTAGCTTTTGTATTTGACGGACGGACGGACAGACAGACAGACGGACAGGGTTATATCGACTCAGTTCGTCGTGCTGATCAAGAATATATACACTCTATGGGGTCTGCCATGATTCCTTCTGCCTGTTACATAATTTTACACCAAACCATTATACCCTAATTTTCCATTTTCAATGGGTATAAAAAGGTCGATGCAAATGAATATGCTCTGCTGAAACAAGTGCCTGAAATTAAATCAGCGAAAATCAACATCATTAAAAATATTTTTACTCTGAAAACTGTATTCGTACCTTTATTAACATTCGTAGTGTGCGTGTGTTTGTGTGCGTACAGGTGGAATTGATGGATGCAGGTGTAAAACAAAGAGCTGTGCTGCATACCCTGCGTCTATTGGTCAATGGTTTTGAACGAGGAACAGTTGTCACAGTCACATGTTTATATTTGTATCTAACTGTCCCGTCAATACATTTCATATTTCTCTCTATGTTACTTTCTATACCTTCCCACTTTCATTAAATAATAATCATTAAAGAGCATCTTTGTGCCATTTATTCCGTTGTTATTTTCATGTTTCCTGTTTCCAACTCAATGTGCAAATTTATTTTTCCTCACATGCAATCGATTTAAATGAATGAAGTGTAGGAAAAGTAAAATTTCTTTACTATTACAATCAAATGATAATCTTGAAAACCATTCTTTTCCTTAAAACTTGGAATATGTTCTATTATATATATATATATATATATATATATATATATATATATATATACAGCCCTA